GCAAAAACCGAGTAATAGTTCTCTTAAATAGAGGATAATTTTGCAGAGTTTTCACACTCATGGGTAGTTTATTCCAAATAGCAACTGCATTAACAGAATAGAACCGACGATATTTAACAGTACGTGCCAGAGGCAGAAAAAAGACCTCAAGGTGACTGTTACGTCGTGGGTGGATATGATGTATTAAAGAGGTGAGTGGGTTAAATGTGTGATTGTATAAGCGTTTAAATAGCAAAAATAGTCCCTCTTGTAGTCTACGGAACCATAAAGGATCAAGGTCCGTAAGCCGGCAACGTTCTTTGTAAGACAAATGTCGGTGTTCCGGGGTTAAAATTCTCTTGGTAAAAAAGTGTTGAACGGATTCTATTTTCTTCCGGTCAGAAGCACGCATGAGGCTAAATAAAAACGAACAGTATTCCAGGCCAGGTCTAACGTACATGTTGTAAAGGCGCATTCTAATGTCCCTAGTTTTAAAGTTTCGGAGGATAAACCCGGTCGTTCTACGTGCTTTGGAGACTATCAAGGCACAGTGCTCCGAGAGATTGAGACTCTTGGAGTATGATACGCCCAGATCCTTTATAATCCCAGGCAGATTTATGGCGTGAACTTCAATACTTAGTTGAGGTTGGCGGTCGTCGCCAACCACCATGACTGAGCACTTATGCCAGGAGAGAGAAAGGCGCCATGTGCGGCACCACTGGGCGAAAGCCTGTAGATCGTTCTTAAGGAGCTCGAGCACGATGTCATGATCTGCCGGCTTACATCGACATGCAACTTTAAGATCATCGGCATACATGAAAGGCTTACCATTCTGAAATAAATCGGGTACATCATTAACGAAAAGACAAAATAAAAGCGGGCCGAGTACACTACCCTGAATGACTCCACTCCTCACACGTGTGGGGTTGGAGATGGTATTGGAAATCTTAACTAGTTGTTTACGAGAGCCCAGGTAAGAAGATATACAGTTCAAAAGTTTGCCACCTATTCCGAAAGAGGACAGTTTCAAGAGAAGATGAGCATGGTCAACACGATCAAAGGCCTTAGTGAAATCGAAATATACTGTGTAAAGTGCAAAACCATTGTCCCTAGATTGGAGAACATAGTCAAAGAAAGAGAGTTGACAGGTGTCACAAGATCGAGCTTTGAGAAATCCATGCTGAGCGGCACTCAGTAGGTTATTCACTGTTAAGTGACACATCATTTTCTCTTTGATCAATGTCTCTAAGATCTTCGAAACTGCGGGGAGGATGTTTATTGGCGGAAAGTCATCAAATGATATAGATTTGCCGTGCTTAGGAATGGGCAAAATGTGTGATTCCTTCCACAAGGTGGGATAAGTTTCACTTTCAAGAGCGAGATTAAATATCTTGCATAAGAGGGATGGGAAAATCGTATTTGTATCGGCTTTTAAAATGCATACTGGGACACCATCAGGTCCTGGGCTATGAGATTGACGAAAACGCTGAATCGCAACAGTCACATCCCACAGAGTGAAAGTTATAGTTTCTAGAACTGCCCCGGTCAATGGCTGCAGTGACACAACAGACAGTGTAGCAGGCATTCAGTGCGACTTGGTATGCTGAACATGCTCAACCACCCTACCAATTTTATTACAGCCAGCAGTGACCCAACAGACATTCTAGCGGACATTCAGTGCGACTTGGTGTGCTGAACGTGTTCAACCAGCCACCAGTGCTACCACAGCCGGCAGTGACCCAACAGACAGTCTAGCAGGCACTCAGTGCGACTTGGTGTGCTGAACGTGTTCAACCAGCCACCAGTGGTACCACAGCCGACAGTGTCCCAACGGACTCTCTAGCATGCATTCAGTGCGACTTGGTGTGCTGAGCGTGCTCAACCTCCGGACCAGATGTATTACAGTCAGCAGTGGCACAACAGACAGTCTAGGAGGCATTCAGTGCGACTTGGTAAGGTGAACGGGTTCAACCACCCACCAGTGGTATTACAGACAGCAGTGACACAACAGACATTCTACCAAGCATTCAGAGCGACTTTGGTGAGCGAACATGCTCAACAACCCGACCAGTTGTATTTCAGCCAGCAGTGACAGAACAGACAGTCCAGCAGGCATTCAGTGCGACTTGGTGAGATGAGCGTGTTCTGCCATCCACCAGTGCTACCACAGCCAGCAGTGAGACAACAGACATTTTAGCTGAGTTGGTGAGCTGGCGTACACAAGTCCCCTACAATGGGCACTGCTGGCTTTTGTGACCCAGCAGTCCGCGTAGACGTCCCTGCATTTTTATTAATTTCAGTGCGTGTTTTATCCTTGCTGGAGCCTGTTGGGCAGCCGCTCTTATTTCTCGCATA